ATATGTATGTGTATATGTGTGTATATTATATGTATGTGTATATGTGTGTATATTATATGTATGTGTATATGTGTGTATCTGCAAGTGTGTGCATATGCAAGTGTGCCTGCCTGTGTGTGTGCATGCCTGCCTACGCCTGTGTGCGTCTGCCTGCTTCTGTGTGAGTGTGCCTGTGTATGCCTGTGTGTGTGTGCACGCACAGCTGCGCCTGTCTCTCTGCGTGTACCCCTGCGTGTGTACGTCTCTGTATGTATGTGTCTGCCTGTGTTGTGCCTGTGTGTGTTTGTGTCTCTGTGTATGTGTGCATGTGCATTTGCCTGGCTTGTGTGTGTGTGTATGCGCACGCCTGTGTGTGCCTGTTTTTGTGTATATGTCAGTTCTTTTACGTGCGGCTGCCAGGCAGCCCTACTCTCTGCATACTTTACTCCTTGTTATCAGCACCCCCTTTCTCAGTATCCGCAGGCTTCCCAGCAATGACGGGGTGAGAGGAGGTCATATTTTCCCTATTTCCTTCTTGTGTCCTCTGCCTCCCTCAGTTTTGCTTCCTTCATCAGCAGCCGGGCTTCAGTTTTCCTGTGTTTCGCAGCTCTGAGGCAACACCTTCTACATAGCTGAAAAGAAAGGATAAAAAAAAATCACTTCCTGGCATGACTGGCAGGTGAAAGAGGCTTGGGAAGGGTGCTGGCTGCTAACGCACTGTATACAACTTCCATACCAGACATTTAACTAGTGGAGTGATTCTCAGCCAGAGAGCTGGTTCTCTGTGGGCTGTCTTGAGATGCTTTCAAGGGGTTATGCCATGGGGTGCCAAGCAACAGTAGCACTATGAGATGTGCAGACGTGCTTCATAAGATAAACCCAGAGATTTCAAATGGGAATCCAGCTGTTAAAAACAGCCTGCCCTGTTGTGGTCTGAGTTCTTTGCAGCAAGAAAATTGCCGTATTATGTTTCCATAGTAAAAAAAAAAGATAAAACTAAGAGCTGACATTTTCTGAGGGGTGCCTCGAGTCTACCCAAGGGTGTCTTGAGTCTAAAAAGGTTGAGAACCACTGAACTAGGGCCTTTTCTTTTCTTGGCAAAGCAAAGTCCTAGTTTTCTGTACATGACTTGATTTACTTTCTGTTGTATGTATGTGTATGCATATTTCAAAAGTGCTGTCACAAGGTGTTTAGTCACTGCGACACATGGACAAGCACGTACACACATGCAAATGTCTCAAATAAAAACTGCATAACAGCATCCAGAAGACAGATCATGACCACACATTGCAACATTGCAGTTTTTCATATGTCCATTTCTTCTTTTAACTTCCTGAAATAAATTCTTGATTCAAGTGAGCTCTGAAGAGTCAGACTTGGGTCCTGTTTCCAGCTCTATCTTGCCTCAGTTTCTCCATTTGTAAAACAGATAATGCTGTTTTCCTTTGCAAAATGCTTTGACATCTGTACATTGAAAATGGTATTTATTTTTATACAAGTGAAGATGAGTATTCTTTAATTAATTCATCTTGTCTGATATATGCTTTTGTTCCCTGTGGTTCTTTCCTCTGCACTGTGCTAAATACTTGAATACTTGAATAATTAAAAACTTGCAGACACCTACTAGTGAAAGAATGATACAAAAGATAGGGCTCCAAGCCCTAGCAAGACATCTAATCTCTCTGGTATCAAAGCTGCTGAGGAGGAGAAGGATGCTGGAAATGCTTTCCAAAATGCTGTTTCTTGATATGGGTTTCATGTCACATATCCCTCCCCTGTAAGACATTCAGCTTATTTTGGGAAGGCAGAATGAAAAATATTTTTCAAGGGTCTTCCCTGCCACAGCATGGTTTCACCATGGCTGAATGCTCCCAGGCCCATGCAGGAAGAGTAGAGTTCAGTTCTCTGTGTTGAACCTTTTCTCTTCTTCCAGCTTCAAAGCTCAAACTTTAACCCTGTCATAGCCACTGCCAAATTGGCAGCAGGTTTTGGCTGAACAAGAAGCCAACCTTTAAAGATGAAAGTTTACTAGTGACTGATGCTTGCCAGCACTAGCTTCCTAGCTTTAGCTGATAAATAGATCTTCTCAGTTTTGGCAAAAGTGATTGGTGTTGACTCGTTTGTCAGCTTTAATACAACTTGTAAGGAGAACCTTAACTTGGTGGCAGAAAACAATCAATTGTCATTAATGCTTGTTTTCTAAAAACAGGACAGTTCTGGCACGTATCTGACTTACATTTAGACCCTACTTACCATCTCACCGATGATCACACCAGAGTTTGTGCTTCTTCCAAAGGGGCTAATGCCTCCAACCCTGGCGCTTTTGGAGATTTTTTGTGCGATTCTCCCTATCAACTTATTTTATCAGCATTTAAGTACATGAAAAATTCTCAACAACCAGCTTCCTTCATGATATGGACAGGGTAAGTAATCAAGTCAATCAATACCCAATAACTGAAACTCATAGTTGGAAGACCATAGCCTACTGGTCTCTGGGTTTATCCACCGTGGGGGAAGAGCCAGCAGCATACCTACAGGCTGGGGAACTCCCTTCTCGTCAGTGCAGAGGCAGAAAAGGATCTTGGAGTCATTATTGATGCCAAGATGAACATGGGCCAACAGTGTGGCGACACAGTCAGGAAGGCCAACCACATCTTGTCATGCATCCACAGATGCATCTCAAGCAGGTCCAAGGAGATGATCCTCCCACTCTATGTGACCCTGGTCAGGCTGCTGTTGGAGCACTGCGTCCAGTTCTGGGTGCCGCACTTCAGGAGGGATGTGGACAGCAAGGAGAGGGTCCAGAGGAGGGCCACTCGCATGATCAGGGAGCAGCAGGGCAGGCCCTACGAGGAGAAGCTAAGGGACCTGAACCTGTTCAGCCTCCGCAAGAGAAGGCTGAGGGGGGATCTAATGGCCTGTTACAAACTAGTCAGAGGGGACCAGCAGGCACTGGGGGAGTCCCTGTTCCCCCGAGCACTACCAGAAGTGCCTAGAAATAATGGTCACAAGCTGGCAGAGGCTAGACATCAGGAGGCACCACTTCACTGTCAGGGTGGGTATGATCTGGAACCAACTTCCAAGCTAAGTGGTGCTGGCTTCTACCCTGGGGGTCTTTAAGAAGAGGCTGGATGAACACCTTGCTGGGGTTGTTTGACGCCAGTACTCTTTCCTGCCATGGCAGGGAGTCAGACTTGATGATCTGCTCAGGTTCCTTCCGACCCTACTAACTATGAAACTATGTTTTCAACAGTCAAATCTTTGCTTCTCTTTGCAGCAGTAATTTGAATGTGTTGGGTGCATCTACATGTGCACTTTACTGTGAAGTAGACTAACTCTTTCTACAGTAAAGTGTCACCATCTACATGTGCATCTCTATTAGGGTGTAGTAAATTAATTAACTCCGCTATAGGATAGTACTATTTGGGATAAGTACTATCCTATAGTGGACAAGGTTCTTTGGTATATCCAATATCTTTTACTAGACCAACTCAGATGCATGGAAAAATTCTTCTTGGCAAGCTTTTGGGTACAAATACCCTTCATCAGGCTGAGGAAGTGTCTGCAATTGGTCTGTGCTCTTCCTAGATGGAATGATAAAGAAGCCAGAGGCCAGTATGCATGCAAGAAAGCCTGTTGTTGAAAATGTAAATTGAGGTAGTCACTGGGTGAGAGACAGGTTGGGAGGGGCAGAGGAGGGGAATGAATATAGCTGGTAAATAGAGAGATTACCTTGGGGGGGCAGATGTTAGGCAGGTCATAAATCCAATGTCTATATTTAGTCCATGTTTTTTTGTATCCCAATATGTTGATGAAGTGAAGTTCATAGGCTTATGTGTGAAAGGTGTTTCGCAAATTCCTTCTGAGGATTACAACTGAGAGATTGGAGAGAGCGTGGTTTTCTTGTGAGAAATGTGCCCCCATAGGAAATTGGGTATTCTTGTCTTTGATAGATTGTTGGTGTGCATTAATTCTGGGATGCAGTTGTTGTTTGGTTTCTCCTACATATTTTCTATCAGGGAAATATGTAATGGAGTTAAGTAGAGTCAGGGATATATGTAGTGGAATGTAGTGGGAAATATGTAGTGGAGCTGGCTAGCTGCCAGCTAGCCCCACGCTGTAGCACCCTTGTCCCTTAACCAGTCTCTCTGCAGCACATTGAACCAGGGAAGAGCAGCTCTGGGCTGCCAGGCTGACCCCCCAGACTCCCTGCCAGCCAGGGCTCCTCTGCCTCAACTCAACATGCTGTGGTCCTGGGCGCACATGTAAATGCGCTTCTGATTGCATGTGTAGATGCACCCACTGCTTTATAAATGATACTCCCGAATGATCCATTTGGATCATTGCATTATCTGAATTGCTAGTAAGTGGCAAGACTTTTAAGAAATTTGGTGGCGAATTTGGAGTTTCTCTATAATTTATGAATAATGTTAACATGTTAACTCGGATGTTTACTGCATGAGGATGTTAATGTTATTTAACAGTGGGGTCTTGGGATAAACGAGCAGGAGTAAAAGAGGAGCAAGATCAACATTTTTAACAGTTGGCAAATATCCAAGGGTGGTGATGGATTCTCCATCTTGAGGTCCACAAATGAAGGTTGGATTTTTTCAGGAAGATATGCTTATGTCAAGCACAAATGTTGGGCTTTCGACAAGGGTAACTGGGTGAAATGTAATGTTTTGTGTTACACACGACTTCATATTACCTGTAAATGTGCATGACTGCCTTCAACTCTCTGAATCTATTAAAAAGAATGGCTCAGGATAAGGCCCTTCACTGCTTACATATGAGGGTTGTGAACAGGCAGTGCCAGGATAGGATGAGATAATTATGGAGATTTTTTTTTAAAGTGGGGGGGAGGAGGTTTTAAAAGGAACATACTTGCAAGAGATGGGGAACCAAGCTAAAACAGACATTTGCTGAGGCTAAGAAGAAAGTGGGCTTGTTTACCATCAGAGATGATAGTAGGGCTTTACATAAAATAAACACGTAGGCTAGCTACAGCCATTCAAAAAGCTTGAGGCAGAATCGATTTAAGTTACGTGGTTTTCTGTAAGCAGCGTAGTTTAGATTAGTAGCAAATGAAACACACATTGCAGGGGCAAATTTCAGATTGGGTTCTGCCGTTTTTAAACCAGTCATCTTTCCATGTTTAAACCAGACTTCTTTTCTGTTACGGGTAGGTGGTTTTGTGTGCTGAACTTCTGTTATGGATATAGACTGATTTCTAATCACTTATACTGGTAAAAGTGTAATGTCTGTACCTGGCTACAGAGACAGTTCTAAACTATTTTTTCCCTAAATATTTTGTTCCTACTGTGAAACAATACTTAGATATATGCCAGTGGTCACAGACTCCCAAAAGGAAGAACTACAGGTACCTGAACCTAGGTGGACCTGCTGGTAAGACTGTTTGGTTCATGGAGTACTGTAGACAAGGGCTTGGTGTAAGAGTAGAAGAACTGAAGAATTTTACCTTAGGTTATGAGATGGGAGGCCAGGTATCTGAGAGGGTAAGAAATCAATGATGAAAAAAAGATGCCTTCTGACCCTATAACTGTGATGACTTCTTACATCATTTCTTTCTGTCCTGAGTGCTTCTCTGCCCTTTATTTTCTGGTGTAGCTAGTTGAAATGAATGTCTGCTGCAGAATACTGTCTTAATCCACTGAAAAAAATCATTCATAGGTTCATAGATTGTAGAGTTAGAAGGGGCCCTGAAGGATCATCGTATCTGACCCCCTGCCCCAGGCAGGAAAAGGACCGAGGTCAGACAACCCCAGCCAGGTGCCTATCTACCCTCCTCTTGAAGGACTCCAAGTTAGGTGATAGTATCACCTCTCTTGACAGCCTGTTCCAGATTCTGGTCACCCTTACTATGAAAAATTTCTTCCTAATGTCTAACCTGAATCTGTTCTCCACTAGTTTCTACCCATTATTCCTAGTTACTACTAAGGGTGCCTTGGTAAATAGCGCATCTCCAATTCTTTGTTGTCCTCCCTTGATAAACGTATAGGCGGCTACAAGGTCTCCCCTCAGACATCTCTTGTGAAGGCTGAAGAGATCCAGATCCCTCAACTTCACCTTATAGGGTCTTGCATGGAGGCCACTAATCATACGAGTGGCCCTCCTCTGAACGCTCTCCAGATTCTCCATGACCCTCTTGAAGTACAACACCCAAAACTGGACACAGTACTCCAACTGTGGCCTGACCAATGCTGCATAGAGGAGGAGCATCACCTCCCTTGATCTGTTGGTCATGCATCTGCTAATACACAATAAGGTGTGATTGGCTTTGTTGATGGCTTTGTTACACTGCCGGCTCACATTCATCTTGGAGTCAACTATGACTCCAAGATCCCTATCAGCTGCTGAGCTGCTGAGGAGGTCATCTCCCAACCTATAGGTGTGCAGGGGATTCCTCCTCCCTAGGTGGCGTATACTTTGCATTTGTCTTTGTTGAATTGCATCCTGTTTCATTCTGCCCGCTGCTCCAAACTGTCCAGATCGGCCTGTAACCACTCCCTACCCTCCAGTGCGTTAACTTTGCCCCATAACTTGGTGTCATCTGCGAACTTGGACAGGGTGCTCTCCCCGCCCTCGTCCAAATCGCTGATGAAGATATTAAACATCACCGGTCCAAGGACCGAACCCTGCGGGGACACCAGTGCCCACTTCCTTCCAGGTCAAAAATGACCCATCTACCACCACTCTCTCAGTGCGGTCTCTAAGCCAGTTTTCCACCCACCTGACTGTGTAGGCGTCCACTCCACAGCCTGCTAGCTTCCTTATTAGAATAGGATGTGAAACTGTATCAAAGGTACAAAGGCCTTCTTTAAGTCCAGGTAGATGACATCAGCTTCAGCTCTAGTGTCAAGGCAGTGTGTGAGCTGGTTGTAAAAGGCTATAACGTTTGTCAGGCAGGATCTACCTGTGACGAACCCATGGTAGTTTCCTTTCAGCATCAATTCCCCTGCTGGGGCTTCACAAATGTGCTCTTTAATGATTTTTTCCAGTGTTTTCCCATGGATAGAGGTAAGACTGACTGGCCTAAAGTTACCCAGTTCATCCCTTCTCCCCTTCTTAAAAATGGGCACCACGTTGGCTCTTTCCCAGTCCTCAGGGACCTGGCCAGACCGCCATGAGTGCTCAAATAGCTGTGCCAGTGGTATAGCTGTGACGCTGGCCAATTCCTTCAGCACCCGTGGATGGAGGTCATCCGGGCCTGCTGACTTGTACCCATCCAGCCCTTCCAAGTGCTCCTTAACTAAGTCAGCACTAACCATTGGCAGTTTAGTGCCTCCCGGACATCTATCTATGTTCAAATTGGGGAAATTGTCTTAGCCAGTACTTAGGAATACTGAAGCAAAGAACTCATTGAAGAGCTCCGCCTTTTTCCCTACAGTGTTTTTCATGCAGTGTTTTTATTTGAACCTTTTCACTTGGCAATGCATGATAATCATAGGACAGCTATTAGTAATTATGTTTATGTCATGCTTATGTCTTGACTTAAGGGTTGAGCAGAACACATTGCTTGCAATCACACTATTACTGGCTGGTTTGGATCCTGCTGAGGTAGGAAACTTTCGAGGTAAAAAAAGGGTGCCAAAAATTCAGGTGGTATTACTGTTGTCTTTGAGCCAGTACTGAACCGATAATTTAGCACTATGATGCAGTTGATAATATCTTTTTGTTGGGACTTAATTCAGGCCTACCCACGTATTGTCAAGGAAGTCGGCTCATGTAGTTGAGACATTAGACTGGAATGCAGAAGATCAGGGTTCAGGTTCTGTTTTAATTCTGGGCAAGACATTTATCTCATCTGCACCTCTGTTAGCCAGTGGAGATCATGAGATTTATATATATATCACATGAATGTTGTGAAAATAAATCTTGTAGTGTTTGTGAAGTATTTTTTACTGCGTGATGATGGAGGCTATATAAATTGCTAGATGGAACCCCAAATGTATTATCAGTTTTCATAGCCAAATCCCACTTATCTGCAAAATCTTACTCATCTGTCATTCATTTTTCAATATAAATTAGTGGATGCCTTTTTTCAGTAATGTATGGCTGAGTAACTGTTTGTGAAAGCTGGTCTATCTATTTCAGGTCTACCTAAAATGGTGCTACATAAATTTTGCTTTTTATTATCTTGGGGAAAGTGTGTTAAGGAAAGTATATATAAAAAGACCAGGCAAAATTAACTCAATATACTACATTTTCATCAGAATGTTGTTGGAAGGGAAAGAAAGAATTTAAAAGGCAGTTGGCAGGAAAGCTATAATATCCAGAATGAAGAATAATACAGAATATGGAAAATGGATTGGTCTGATTAGGAGAAATCTTATGAGAAATAAATGTTTATATCATGGGAGGGGACTTGGCAGGGAGCCTAGCAAGCAATGACATGCCTGAAAGTCCTGTAGTAATATTGCAGGTTAGTATTTGGATGCATTGGCAGAGTTGAGTAAAGCAGAGTAGAACAGCTAATGAACAGTCTGTCACAATTTTGCACTACTGTACTTGGATATTCATAAATTCCTCTCTGTTTTAGGGATAGCCCTCCTCATGTTCCCGTGAAAGAACTCTCCACAGAGACCGTCATTAATATTATTGGCAATATGAGTTCCACCCTTCGTAGTTTCTTTCCAGATCTCCAAGTTTTTCCTGTACTGGGTAATCATGACTACTGGCCACAGGTAAAATGAGTTTCAGAAATATGAACCAGTTTGTTTCTTTACCAGAATGATTATGGACATAAACCAGCAGAAGAAAGTACCACTGAAGCAACTATAAGACTGCAATAAAAATGAAGTTTGCACCTGCTGTTTATACTAAATGCAGCATTCCACAATTCTTCAATTTACAGCCAGAAGTGCAAATATTTTTACAATACAGTAGACTGAAGTTCAGCTTTATCAGCTTGTGAAATTACCCAAACTAATAGCAATGTCAGATCAAATCTTTCAGTTGTTGTAATAGCTACAGACTTACTCTTTCCTCAAAATTCATAAGCATCTCATTTATCGGTCATACTTGATATCAGTTTCATTTTCCATGCAGGGTAAAATCACACTTACATGTGCAGTATTTGAAGTCTATGCAAATGCCATCCTTAATGTGCCAGTAAGATTCAAAGCCACTGACTTCACTGGGCTTTAGTTCTGGCTTACACTTTTTTCTTTTAATTAGTTTCTTTTGTTCCATAATTGTAACAAAAAGTAAAAACAATTGAAAATAGAAAACTCCAAGGTTTTAGCGATGAAATATAAAAATGCATGAGTAGTTTCTGGCTTCCTACAACACAATTGCAGGTATTTCGACAAGTTATTGAACATGCAGGTGATTCCAGCCCAGGATAATGCATGTCTTGCTTTCACATTGAGTTATCGGTGGTTTTTGTCATACAAACACTACAGTAGCAACTGCATACAGCCATGGAATGTACTCCAAAGTTAATCTAGCAGTTCATAGGAGGAAGGGCCAAATTCCATCAACAGGTCCCATTGTGGGAGGTAGATCTCATTGTTGCAGGTCAGGAAGTATCTTATGTTTGAATCTTATAGTGAGGATGCAGTAAAACCCTTCCATATCCTAAAAAAGCCTTTTACTCAAGTATGACACTCTCTAGCTGGTTAAACTTAACAGGGGAACCGGCCTGGCTAAGATCACACACCAGCAGAAACAGCATATACTTTTTATCCGTATTCACTTTTGTGAAATCCAGTTCAGATTTAAAACACAGGTCATTAGTGAGAATAACTACTGGCATGCAACAATCTCCTTGGTAACGGAGGAAGATAGCTGCATACAGGGTTCTCATGTGCAAAGCAGACTTTAGCATTTTGAAATAGACATTCTCTGGTGAATACCAATTTTTAAATAAAACTATATAAAATTAAAAAGCTCAGTGGTTGTAACAGATAAATAGCATACACTGCTTCTGAGCAGGATATTTATAGGAGAATCATGTTTATTTCCCTCAGCTCAGCACTTAAAGATATATATATACAAGTATCTGACATTTTGTTTTGAAATATCAAACTTCACTGATGTACCTAATTGATATGCTTTTCTTCCATATTTTGAAAATCATGTCAGAGAACACAAGGGGGAGGTTACTGACTGCAGGTTGTTTTGCTGTTTTCAGTAGGCGTATGCTTGCTACTTGGCAATGCACACCACAAACTGACGATGTGGCACAGCACAAGGGCTTCTTTTGAGGAGTGCAAAAGGAGCTGTGAGATGTATATGTAATCCTACGCTGAGAACTGTGTTGCGTTGTGTTTGACTCCAGTTTGCTGATCACAGCAATATAGTGATCTTTGGTAGTTTTCTTGTAATGCAGCTGCTTGACAGTATTATCCAGGTTAATCCAATGTCATTTGTATTTCAAATAATGTTGTAACCATGACATTCCTGCACAATCAGACTTTTTCAGATAACTGGCCCCAACCGAAGAGTCTGGCTAATTATTGTCTAATCTGAATACACACAGAATATTATGCTGCGTGTGGGTGCCAAGTCCCAACCTCCTTGAATTCACTGCAGTCTTGTATCTGGAAGAAATCTGGAAATTATCTGCAGCTCTGGAAATTCTTACAGCAAGATTGGTGGTGTAGGCAACAAATGCTGTAGATTGATTTTGATTGCTGTACTTGAGATTTAAGTGGTTTGTCTGTATCATAAAAGGTAGTGAATTTATAGACTCCCTGTATAGCTAGCTTGCATTAATCATCTCACAGAATTTCATCCAGTCAATCCTATATGGATGTGAAAATGGGGACAGAAAAATTTTGCTTGGTGGTACTTTTAACCACAAAGTACCACCAAGCAAACTGATGTCTGACCATCTGTCATCACACAGCAGCTGAGTAAAAGTGGTATTGTCATATTAGGGGAGTGCTCTTCCTGAGTGAATTAGCCCTGTTGAAAAGCAAGTTTACATTAGCATGGTTGGAGTGCTGTGCTAAAGCAGCTATACAGCTTTTGATACATAAGCCTGCAAGATCTCTGAGTGGCATCACGTGGAAGTCTAATGCCTATTAAAATATGCTGAAGTGTGCAGGCATTGCCCAGGTCTGTTTTAAAGTACAATATTCCTTATTACTTGAGCAGACGGTTGGAGTGGATGACCTCCTGAAGTCCCTTCCAGCCCTGTTTTTCAATGAATCTTTGATTAGTGCTGGTCATAGTTTCAGCAAAACCTTTTTCTGTTAAAAAAATTCTACATCATTACTAAAAAATATTTTGTAGAAATTCACTGGTTTTGGCCACTGGATTTTCTCAAGTCCAGAATGGAATTTTGAGAGAGAGATTCCCAACTCTAAACCACATGGTAGTCAGATTTCTCAGTGAGAATCGTAGGATCATGGAAAAATAGCTCTGGAAGGCACCCCATGAGATCATCTAGTTCAGCCATCTGCTCAAGACAGGATCATCCCTAACTAAATCATCCCAATGAAGTCTGTCTACCCCACTCTAGGTAGCCTGTTCCAATAGCCACCTAATAGAAAGTTTTTTCCTAATTACTAAATTTCCTCTGCTGCAGCTTGTGGATGTTGCTCCTATTCCTGTCCCCTAAAGCTATAGAAAAAAAACTGTCTCCATCCTCTTTATAAACACCTTTCAGGTATTCGAAGACTGTTATCAAATTCCCCCTCAGCCTTCTGTCCTCCTGACTAAATAACCCTAGTTCTTTCAGCCTTTCCTGGTAAGTCACGTTTCTCAGGCCTCTTATAGTTTTCATTACGTTCTGTCATACTCTTCCAAATCTGTCCATGTCTTTCTCAAAGTGTGGGGCTCCAACCTGGACACAATACTCCAAATGAGGCCTCCCCAGTTCCAAAGAGAGTGGAAGGATCATTTCCCTTGATTTGTAAGAGGCTTTCCTATCAATATAGCTAAGTATACTGTTGGCTTTTTTGGCAACAAGAGCATGCTGTTAGCTCATACTTAGCTTCTGATCAAATACACCACCTAGGTTCTTTTCTGCAGTACTACATCCTAGCCAATCATTCCCCAGTACATGTATATATTTGTGCATGTAGCTATTCCATACCAAATGCAGGACTTTGTACTTGTCATTGTTGAATTTCACCTGGATTTTGGACCATTTCTTTAATTTATCCAGGTCATTCTGGATCCTAGCCTTACCCTTTAGAGTGTCTGTACCTCCATCCAATTTTGTGTTATCCACAAATTTGCTAAGTGTGCACTCAATCTCATCATTCAGATCATTAATGAATATGTTAGTATTGGACCCTGAGACACCCCACTTGATACCTCCTTGCAATTAGGCACAAAGCCACTGATGACTACTCATTGATGATCCAACCAGTGATGTATCCATTTTGCAATACTTTTGCCTCACCTGTACAAACTAAAGCTTACTGATGAGTATTTTACAGGGTACAGTATCAGAAGCCCTACTAAAGTCCAGGTGTATCATATCTTCTGCTCTCTCCCCATACACAGAGCCTGTCACTTTATTATGGAAGGTGATCAGGTTTGTCAGGCATAAGGTATTCCAGATATTGAGGTCAGACTGGCTGGTCTGTAATTCTGTGGATCCTCTTTCTTCCCTTTCTTAAAGATGGGCACTAAATTTGCCCCTTTTCAGTCATCCAGGACCTTACCTGACTTTCACAGTTTCTCAAAGAGGATAGCTAATGGCTCAATAGTTCCTTAGCCAACTCCTTCAGTACTTTAGGGTATGTCCCATCCATCCCTGTGAACTTGAAGAAATCTAAGTATTTCATAAGCCAGTGGGGATTACTTCTCTAGGTAATCCCTAACTGGTTCTTCCACTACTGTAGGAAGTTTGTTTCCTCCGCTATCTTGGCTGTAACTGTACCCATGTTCTGGTTGCTGACTTCGTTCAGCTGAAGTAAAAAACAGCATTAAATAATTCAGCTTTCTCTGTATCATTTGTAACTAGGTTGCCTTTTACATTAAGCGAGGGCCCTAAACTTTCTTTGGTTTTCCTCTTACTTCCCCTATACTTGTAGAATCACTTGATTTGCTTGTTATGGCTCTCAGATTGTGCCTTAGCCTTTCTAGTTTTTTCCTGACATGTCTATACAATACTCTCATACTATTCCCTAATACTATGACCAAGTTTCCACTTTTTGTAGGATATTTTTTTCTGAATTTCAGTTCATTGAGGAGATCTCTGTCTAGCCAGACTGGTCTCTAGTTGCACTTTCCATTCTCTCATTGCACTGGGATAGCTTGCTCTTGCACCTTTAATACAGCCTCAGAGTACAGCCAGCATTCCTGCACTTCTTTTCCCCTCAGACTTTCCTCCGAGGGAATCCCTCCCACCAGTTCCCTGAGTTTGTCGAGTCTGCTTGTCTAAAGTCTGTTGTCTTTATTTTGCTGCTTTCCTTCATATGTGGGACATGAATCCAGCATGTGTAAGGATGTGGGACACAGGTCCAAATCCTTGCCCCAACTCACAGAGATCTTGTTCCCACCTGCATAAAAGCATTTTGAAACCTTTTTTATTTCTTCCTACAGAACAAAAAGCTTCCAAACTCTTCATTGTTTTATGGTACACATGTGTTATAAGCCACAGAAAATCTTTAGTCATATTCAGTTCTGACTGAGGTTCAGGTATTTAATCCTGATTTATTCTCAGAGATCTGTTTGGTCAGTGGTACTTTGCTGTTAGAAGTGTACCGTAGATCTTTTCTCCTCTAGTCCCTTTGTCATCTCCATATAGGACTGTCTGGATGAAATTTTGTGACTTGCTTAATAGAGTAAGTCACACTGGATGATGTAACAGGTTTTTTATCATTAAAACCTCTGAATCTGTGGGGTAAGAATTAGGTAGGTTTGTTTTTTGACAGGATCAGCTGCCTCCAGCTGCCAGCGAAGTGTACAATGCTGTAGCAAACTTCTGGAAACCATGGCTAACTGAGGAAGCCATCAGCACCTTTCAGAAAGGTAAAATCTAGCATAAACATATTGTCACGCTAGAGGGGATTGACATTTCTGTAGTTAGTTATTTTAACTTAGCTAAATTACATAGGATGAATTAGTGCACTGGTTATCATCCGGTTCCTCTAGAGGTTAGGGACTTGTCTGTTCTGTTGTACTCTTAACTACATCTTGAAGGACTAACTACAGTTCATTCTTCTGTGGATGTAATAATCATAATTGGTTTCTTGTAGCAACTACATTAGACTTTATACAAAACTAAAGAGACTTAAAGTCCCTGCCTTAAGGAGCTCACAATCCAAAATAAATACTCTTTTAGGAAAAGGTTAACTTATGTTAAAAGAAAATTTGAAGAATAATTGTTTATATGGGTTTGAGACTGCAGTATTTACCCAAAGCCAAGATGACTCTGAATTTAAGATGACCCTCCTCCCCCAATAACTAGATTCTATATATGGGAAATGTATAAATTTTTTACAATTTTTCCATTTATAGAATCTAATTATTGGAGGGTCATCTTAAATTTGTCCCCCCAGCTGCTGCAACAGGGTAAACAGCAGCAGGGGCAGGCGACCCCTACCACTTGTCTCCCCTGCAGCCTGCACCTCCTGCTGCCTCTGCCCCTTCCTGTAGCTTCTGCCCCTTATGTTCCCTGCAGCCTCTGCCCCATCCCATCTGCAGCTCTGCCCTTTCCTCCTTCCCCCAGGTCACTGTCAGGTGCAGATTGCACTCCATTCCCTCCCTGTCACTGAACATGTGAAGCTGTGCCACTGCTGGTTGGGACAGAGCTTGTATGTGCTCTGTGTCTGGAAGGGAATGAGCTGGAGCTGGAGCTGTGCCTGAGGCTGACAGTGAGGTTGGAGGAGAGGTGTGGGACCAGAAGCTGCAGAAGTGAGGAAGCAGTTGGGTGCAGGAGTCCAGGAAGTCAGAGCTGCAGCACCCATCTGCCTTCCACTCTTTGTATTCAAATCCAAGATGAGGGGCTTTTTTACCATGTTGAATGGGGAAAAAACTTTGTCTTGGATTTGAATAAATGTGGTACACAAAATTAAGAAAATGAGGTTAAAAGATCAGGTAGCACATTTGTAAACTAACTGTTGAGTAGGAAGCAAAAGGTCAGGTGGCACATTTGTAAACTAACCAGTTGAATAGGAAGCAAATAATCACTGAAATTTATACATTTAATTAACACACATAGGGCCAGATCCTGTTCTGCCTAAGTGCAGTCCACTGTGCTCAAGTCCCTGAGAAACTGTTAATAGAGAAGGTGGATGAGTTCTCTTTCATTTCACTGTACTTAAGGCTAAGATGAGGGCAAGTTATGCAAGTAGATGCATTAATAGTTTTCCAGGGACTTGAACAGGATGAAATAGGATCACACTTAAGTACCTAATAGGTAGAATAGGATCTGGCCCCTCATGCTTGCCTCTAATTCAGCTCATTGGGTATAAACTGGTGCACTAACAGGTTTTTGTAAACCGCGGTTGTTGAACTCAGTGCATTTTCCAACCCACTCTAACACTGAGAGTTTGGATATTTAATTAGAATTGGACTCTTTGGGGTTGTTCAATAAATAAGCAATTAGGTAAGAAGAATGTGTGGCTAAAAGGGGAAGAGACGCTCCAGTGGAAAAATAAATTATGGAGGGATTAACCCTCACCTGGTGTGGATTGTCATGGCACTGTTAATGTTAATTGTTAATGTGTAATTTATGGCAGATGAGGATAGTGTTCTTATACATGTAACGTATAAGTAATAAAAAGGGCTAGGGAGGATTATTGGACTATTGTATACCCATTGTGCAGCATAAACTTCCTTTTTTAGGAGCCTAGATGGATGAAAACAGGATATTTTCTGTTGACTGGGTTTCTTTCTGGGAAAAAAAATGGTAAAAGACACATCTTTATACAAACTGCACTCGCAAGTTCCAAATTAAACCCTGGGGCAAAAAGTAGAAGTACTGTAAAATGTCCTGTGTTGCTTTTCCACATGGATGATACCGAATACAGTGAAATAAAGGGATGTTGTGAGAAGCTGCTGCCCACCTAAGCAAGCATATCAGAATCTGGCTGATAGAAAGAGAAAGACTTCCTACACTTTCAAATCTTTCTGTCTCTCACTCACGTTGATCTTGTTTTCACAGGCGGCTTCTACACACAACTATTTCACTCCAGCATGAGTTCTCAACCACTCAGGATAATCAGTTTGAACACAAACCTCTATTACAGCCCAAACATTGTGACTCTGAATCTAACTGACCCAGCTGAGCAGTTAGCATGGCTGGAAAGTGTACTAGAAATCTCTCTGCAAAAGAAGGAAAAGGTAGGGGCTAAATACTGAAAGCAATTAACTAACCACATTTTAAAACAGTAGTGCCCATTGCAACTGTGTAAATTGGAAAATAATAAAAGCTAGTAATTGGAAAAGAAGATGGCATGAACAAGATTTCAGACTTATTCTTCTAGAATTTTCAGTTGAGCAAGAGGGAAGGAACTTCAAACCAGATTTTCTACTTTACATGTATGCAATATGCAGTTCCTACAAAGTATCTGTAAAGGAATAAGTGACCTGATTCTGATCAGATCTATGCGGGTTTAACACCATTATACCTCTGACTTCAGTGGGCCTGCTCTTGATCTGTGCTGTTGCAAGTGGCATTAGAATCCAGCCTAACTTATCAGGGTTGCTATATTATTTTCACTACTGAAGAAATCCAAAAAAGGGATTGACCACAAAACCTGGTCTTGGTTAAGAAAATACCTGCACTATTAAAACAAGAAAAAAAGAATAGTTGCATTTCTAGCATGGTGCCAGTGAACTGGGACCTGTTTGTATTTTTATTCGCAGTATAAATGTTAAATCATTTCTTGTTAGCACATAATATACAGGAAAATAGTACCTCCTTTCACAAACCTGATCTTTATTTCTTACAAGGAATGAGGTAACTTCAGGCTGTTAAACATGAAAAGTCAGGAATTGGGCATATTAAAGTTGGCCACAGAGGCTGTTTACAGGTCTTAAGAAAAAAACAAAAGAATGCTTTACTTAAAACTCATCACACTTCTGGGCAAAGCCCAGCACATGCCCAGAAGAGGCATTGTGTTAGTTGGACCCAGTTCATCCAATGTCTGTATATATCGGGCACTTCAGTGGGTTTTTTTGGTGCTTTTATCTAATACCTGATTGAATCATCTTTAAATAAAAGTGCCAAAAAGCCCTGCTGAAGTGCCTGATTTGTAGAGATGCTGCAAAGCCAGGTCAAACTAATGCACAGCTTCTTCGGGTAAAGCACATTTTGGGTTTTTTTTAATGTTTGTAGGCAGCCCTAATCTTACCTTTGCCTGATGCGTACCTCAAGGTACCTCATTCTCTAGTATTTAATTATATGGTTTTATACCATTTCTCAAATCATACAATTAAAGCTCCTCATTTTTCTTATAGCCTGAAACCATTCAAGAAAAGCCTGTTAGGATTGCTTAAAATAATTCAGCAACTATACTTTGTTCACTTGCCTTTCCTTCCAAGTGAATAAACTCTTTTTTGCTCAGCATTTATAAAAACATTCACACTTGGCCTGAGACCAAGTCTATAACATTTCAGCTTGGATGACAAATTTCAGAAAATTCTGGATGTTGAAAACTAAAGCTAAGAAAGGAAACGTAGGCAAACTTACTGACAGCATTTGCTACTCACTTATTTTGTAATAGTGTTACCTGCTAAACCTCCTTTTCTGATTCAGTTTATAAAATCTTAGCTGTCTTCATAACTGATTTTTGTTTCAGGTTTGACAAGCTCAAAGATTAAATAACATTGTTCAGATTTAAATTCTTTAAAATTTTTATTTTTTTTCTTGCTGGAATGAAAACTTGTTGCAGTGATTATTTAGGTACATTGTGGCGTCATGCATAAGACGCTTTACTGCACAGTGGACTAATCTTCTGCGTAGTAAAGCATCACCATCTATTCTGTGCACCATTTACTGCACAGTAAATTAGTCTACTATGCAGTTAGCTACTACCTGTAAATGACTAGGAGCAAATTTGCTCCTGGAGCCAGGATCCAAGCAGCACTGGGATGGGGTAGCTCTCTGCCCCCCATCCTAGCACTGCTCAGATCCTAGCTTCCAACAGGAGCCGGGAGCCAAGTAGCACCAGGATTGGGGAGCTCTCTGCTTCCCCTGTGGCTCCCTGGTGTTGGGGCTGACCAGGAGCATATATGCTCCCAGTCAGCATCTACACATCCACTACTGCGTAGTATCTACTGCACAGTTAGTTTACTACCAGAAGCTGGACAGCTCCTGACCACCCCCCAGCTGTGCAGGGAAACCTTGCTGAGCAGGGGAGGGGAGTGGCGGTTGGGAATGCTCTGCAGTGGCAGCTATCTCCCAGCCCCAGGCACATCGGGAGGGGTCCCGATGTGCATGGGGCCAGGATACAGCTGCCACTGCAGCTGGCAGAGCTCTTCTGGCCCCGTGAGCAGCGGGACCAGCTCCTGTGCTCTCTGCCAGCCCATGGGCAAGCACCCTAGTGGAGCCTGGAGCTCCCCCTGGCTGCTGCAGGGGGCAGGAGCAGCCCTGTACTGGGCTGCTCCTGCTGGGAGCAGATTTGCTTCCAACAGGGAGCACCTGTAGACAGTAAGACTTTATAGCATTAATAGCACATATGAACTAATAGTATTAATATGCACATATTTTGTTTGTTCCCTGTATAAACACAAAACAGCAGTAGTGGTGTCCAAAATGGTTAGGCTAAAATATACACTTGATGTTGGAGACTCAGGATCAGTCTTAGGTTCTGCCTGAATTTAGGCAAAGATTTGAAATATGCTCCATCTTCCTGAGGGTATTCTGAGGAGGGGTTCTTTTCTCAACCACTTTTCCTGAATGGAAATTTTACAATTTAGGCCCCCAATTTTTTTTCCAGCCTAAAAGTTTCACTAAGTCTGTCTTGAATAACTTCGGGATGATCAAAGCTGTAATTACTAGCCTTCCAACCAAAAATTCAGGCATTTTTATTCGCAGTAACTTTAAACATTATTGGTGTAAAAAAGAAAACAAACCCCTAACTTAGATTTCAGAATGGCATTTCAAAGGCAGTATCATTAGAAAACTGTTAATATTAGGCTGCAGATAAATATGTCTGTTACATATGAAAATGCTAATTGTGTCAAATATATCTCATCTATAGGTATATATAATTGGACATGTGCCAGTAGGATATTTGCCTTATGTAAGGTACATTACTGCTATAAGAAGATATTACAATGAGAGATTGATAAAAATTTTTCGAAAGTACAGTGCTGTTATTGCTGGACAGTTTTTTGGACATACTCACAGAGATAGTATCATGATCCTTCTTGATGAGAAAGGTAATAGTTCTTTTTTACTTCTGTTGCTTATGGTCTCAAACAAAAGAATATTTTCTTGGAGGTTTGCTATTGTCAGACCCTACTATCAATTATTTTAAAAAAGGAATGGGGGTGAAATGTATGTATTTTTTTCAAGTTCACTGAATACTTATTACGGTGCTGTCTGAGCAGTTTTTTCTGATGCTTCCACTACTGAGATCTGTGTGTTGCATGGTATTTTTTAAGAATTTGAGTCCATATTATACTTGTTCTCTGCAATGAGCAGAGACTTTCTGAGTGTCATATTTTTAATGAACGTTAGTAATTCCTTAGGCAAGGATTTCTAGTCTTTCTACTCTTTCATTGACATGGTCAAATAACCCAGGCCAGTTCCTATTGTGTAATGTGTCAAGGAGAATGTTCTTAGGCCAAGGAGACATGCTCTGTTTTTTTGTGTTTCCTGCATCATTACTGTGCCTCTCTGCTAGATTCCCTGCAGCTTCAAAGTTAATTAAGATGGGGGGAGCAGAAGGTAAGGGGAAGAAAATCTCTGCTTGCTGCATCTCTTAGATCCCATAATCTCCCTTCAGAGAAAATTGCCCAAGTTTGAAGGTCTTGCTTTGCACTAAGAAATATTTCATTTCTAAAGGTGAGAGTAGCTAAATGAAATATTGCTACTACTAGAAATACCTGCTTAAATAGACATACTAAATGTTACTAATAGAAGTCACACTGTCTATGCCAGAATCCAGTGCCATGGCTTACTGCAATGCCTCTGTTTATGGCGGTTATGTGGAATTGGCCCCCAAAAAGAAGGAACTGCAACCCCCTCTAAATGGGGGAACTTCCTTCAAGGATTTTGTAAGATGGCTATTGCTCAATTCCATGGCCAAAACTTTTGCACAAACTTCATTGGGAAGGGCAGACTGGTTTTGCTGCTTGCATTGCACAATTAACTCAGCTTCCAAATCTATTTCTCTGGCACAAATTAAACCTTCCCTATCTAGCTATCCCTGTCTTTTCTGTTTTCAATACACTTTTAAACTCTGATTTCTTTTATTGACAAAGCTTTGCTGAATCAAGAGACAGTGAAATTTGTAACCAGAACCCACACATTGAGATACAGAGCCCATTTTATGTCCTCCAGAAGAGTTTGCTGGATTTCCAGAATTGTTCACCAGCTTTCAGAGCCTCAGCTTACTGGTAGAATTCAGGCTTTTGGATTCTGGACTATGATGTTGGCAGAGTAAAGGAATAGTTATTTTTTCATGAAGACCCCTTAAGTACTCACAGGTGGGTATTCTATCTACCTAAAGCTTTTTTGACATCTTAAATTGCGTCAAAGAGCAGATGATAGGTAAATGTAGTTATATGAAGCTTTAAAGCATATCAGTAATTATCCCTGACATTTCTGATAATTCAAAAACACATAAAGCACATGACATGTCAGTTGGCGATGACAACACAGACTTCTGAATCTGTTTTCTTCCTTCTAGCTTGCAGCAGGGAAGTACTGAATACTAAGGGCTTTGTTGCAATCAGAAGTTTTGCATCAGTGCAGCTAAATGGCTGCAAGCTCCCTATGTAGATGTATTACATTGACGTACAGTGGAGTTTGCACTGATGGGACTTGTCAGGACTTAGTGCTTTCCCTGATATAGACCCCTTTGTGCAAAAGTGATAATGTAGTTAAGCCAAGTGCCCCAGTTCTTACCTTGTTGGCTTTTAACAGAAATACAGTATTCTGAAAAACATCTAATCAAAGGAAATTGTTTATTTCTCTATTTTTGCCAGCAAAGCCAATAAACTCTTTGTTTGTGGCACCTGCTGTGACTCCAGTGAAAAGTCGTCTACAGATGTTGTCCAACAATCCTGGTGTCAGGCTCTATCAGTATGATCCTTTTAATTACAATTTGTTGGTAAGTGATTTAAAGGGGTTTTTTTAGTGTTTAAGTATTTAAACATAAAATTATTGCTGCTGCAATTTAGGCCCTTTTATACTGGGTGTCCTGCTGCATGGCTGATGCTGGATCTGCCTTTACAACAGGTGGGTGGAGAAGTGTAAGAAAAGGAAAGGTAAATCGAAACAAAGGAAAACAGTACTCATTCTTGGATCTGAAGGATCTACCCCTAACTGTCCTTCTGCTGACCAAATCGTGAAATCGATGAGGGGAAAAAAGCCTTGTGGGTAATATCCTAACACTATTTTCAGAGCGTGCTGTGCAGCAATGGAGAGAGGCAGGCAAAATTATAGATGGATATATCTACACATCTGACCTTTGGGGTTAGAGAAAGTAAATTGTGTGCATTTAGTTCAACACTGTGCAGAGTGATGGAAGAAGAGAATATCAACAGATTCCGGGGTGAAATCCTGGCTTCATTGAAATCAATGGCAAAACTCCCGTTGACTTCAGGGGAACCAAGACTTCACTCCAAAAGTTTAAGTTATTACCTCAAGTTGAGTTTTGCCCATTTGTGAAAATATAAGCTCTTACTCTCCTTTACACCCCCCATTCCCCCAGAACACAAGAGAATTGAGCAGAAGAGACTTTGGTTTGCTGTCTTACTTGATAGAAATCACCTCTAACAGTGCAGCTATTCCCTTTTGTCTCTTTCCTCTTCTCTTTGCCTCCCCTCCCCCCTACCAGTCCTGCACTACAAGTGCTGTCTTTGGGTATAAGCCCAAGTCTTGGGGTAGGACATGACCTTCTATTGAATTGTGAATAACAAGCAGTGACAGCTTCCTAATCAATACATCACTCTAGAAATTAATGAAGCAGGAAAGAAAGTAATATAGCTCTACCCTCCACCTCCCCTCTCCTCTTTTTTTAAACCTAGGATATTTGGCAGTTTTACATGGACCTTAGAGATGCCAACAAGAGAAATGAATCAAACTGGAAATTAGAATACATCCTGACCAAAGCTTATGGCATCGAAGACTTGAAGCCAGAAAGCTTATATGGAATGGCAAAGCAATTCTCTGTGCCTCACAGCAAACAATTCCAGCAATATTATAGACACTACTTTGTGAACTATAACACAAGCGTTGTCTGCAACAAGCACTGCAAGACCAGCCATATGTGTGCAATCCAGTATTTGGATCACTCTTCCTATGTAGATTGTATTAGGCAGCCTGCACTGTGGTGATGAAATTGCAATCAATACTGATGTCAGTGTGAAACCTGCATTTTAAGGAATCTCTTCCACTGTTCATGCTGAAATGGGAGCCTGTGAAAATCCTTTGTGAATTGCAGGGGAACAGTAAACCTCCTATATATTTTTAGTTTTTTATAAAAATGTGGGCCACAATTTTCTGACTGCACCTAATAAGTTAAATAAATTAAGAAATATGCATATGCATCTATATAATGCAGGCAAACACAGTTTATGTTAAGAGCTCTTGATTTTTTTCACAGTGCAGACTAAATCATAATATGCAGTTTGTCTCATGGACCAGCTTCCTTCCTCTTTGTGATAGTACAGACCCCCTCTTTCCCTGTTTATGATTTAAATATCATCTCTGGTTCAAATACAGGAGTTCTTTACACAAAAAGTAATATTAAGAAAGTATTTTAAATGTCTTGTAATGTATTTCAGTAAAGGAGAATGGGAAGAAGCTATTATCCATTTCCTACTAAACCCAGAGCCACAGTTTAGGAACTCTGCCCAATATATTAATTTTAGTTGGCTAGCCAAAACCAAATAATGATGGTCACAAGGCTAACCCTATTATTAATTTTTTGTTTTTCATGAAGTCACAAGTTTGATACACATTCAGGTACTGAAGAACTTTCTATGTTTTGTCTCAACCCAAAGATGAAATGTTTTAAGAAATGTGTGTATGGAATCCCTTCAGTTGTCAGATATTTAAAAATATATATATATATCATGTCATAAACATGTTGGTCAATACTGTGGTATATAAAGTCTGCAAGTGATGAATACTTGATTTTTGTTTGCTTTCAGCTATAAATATTTCCATTTTATGAAATTTGAGAATGTAATTGAATACTGAATCCCATATATTTTAGATTATGCACTACGAGATGGTGCAGATACATGCTCCGATTTGGCAATAAAATCTTTAAAAAGAAATATCTCTGGCTTTCTTTATCTGTTCTGATGTAAACAACTCCATAGTCAACATATTTCCATCTTTTCCAACTTTTCTCTTATGAGTGTTTATAATGTGTTCCATCATTAGATTGTACATTTTACTCATACTTCCAGAGCTGGGTTTTTGCATGCTAAAATGCGGTGTGATTGATTTATTACATGTACTGCTGTGAATCGTGTACACATCACACTGTTATTTGTTTGACATGTCTAGTCTTTGCAGTTGAGATATATTAATTTCACTTTGAAGTCTAAAACTAGTGTATTAACAAGAATGCCAGTGGAGTCCCCAGGAAGTACAAACTAGGAGTGGGCTTTTTTCTTTTTTTTACCTGACAGTGTCTATGTTTATAAAACCCCTAGAAATGGCATTGATGCAACATCAAAGAGATGTTTTAAAATAAAATAAGAGAATTTAGTTTCCCTTACTGAAGAAAAGTAATTTGTATTTCATTTTTCCTGTTGTCATTTTTAGTGGAAGCAAGATGGCTAAAATAATACTACTCTGAGAAATCAATTACTGGTATTTCCTGATTCTTTTCTATTTTGAGTATGCAGGCTTAATCCAGCATTACTGAAGTTTTAGTTTCTGTGTATGTGTATAAAACACAGATGTACATGTAGTAGCATATCATGTAATCATTGTCATTCATGAAGTATATCTCCTGAAATTTTCCGTATTTTGTCAGATTTATTGCTTTTTTCCCTCTAAAGTGGAATAAATTAAATATTGTCTGACTGTATTCTAAGGCAAATACAACTTCATTACCTGGTTAACTATCAGACTGACAAACTGCAGGTAATCAAAGATATGTTAGGATATATGAATAAAGCAAAGAGAGTGAGTTAGTTGTAGACCTGTTTGGTCTGTGTGTATTGGGACACCATGATATTTAGGTGACAAGACATAGGAGTAGATGCTGATGTGAACACTGGTTTAATTGGTCACTTCCTAGATTTATTTTAGTTGTGATGATTGGAAATAGATGTGAACAACCTTACCTCAAAGTAATTAAGATTGCAAGCAAAGAAGACATGGGCAGATGGTGCAATAGTAATAACAGGCGAGATTTATCTTTGTTTTTCCCTAGGTATCCCTTACCAATTCCATGTAATCCAAAAGCACTTGGTAAGAATTGTAACTCTCTTGTCTCACTCATTCTTTTCTCCTGCTATGTTATGGTTTCTGAGCCAAGGTTTTAAACAATACTCACAACCCCCTAAACCTTATAAAACAGACTTGTTAATGCAAACCCACTTTTATCTGCCTGGGTCTTGAAAAAAGGCCTAAAACATAAACTATTTTTAGGTTCAAACCTGTCCTGGTTTACAGGCACCCACCCCCTCCCTGCCTCCAATCACGTATAGTATCTAGCACCAGACTGTCTAACTCCTAGTCTCCCCAGGGAACCAGATCTTGCTGAGAACCCAAATGCCAGCTGTACCTCCTCATCAACACAGACCATGTCATCACTGGACCAAATAGCATGGTTTACAACATCCAAGATTCATTCACCTGCTCCTCTACCAATGTCATATATGCCATCACCTGCTTATAGTGCCCCTCTGCTGGCTACATTGGATAGATGGGGCTACCCCATGGGAAGGAAGGACTGAACGTTGATTTGATATCAGCTCCAGAAAGAAACCCGGGCAGAACACATTAACCTCCCTGGACAGTCCATTGTTGCCTTCAGAGTAGCTGTTGGATAATAAAGCTTTAAAAACCAACTTGAACATGAAATTATGGAACAAGAAATCACTGGATATCCAACAGGACAAGATTTATGTAGCATGCCTGTGGTCTGTTAATGGGGTGAGCACTTCTCTAGGTTCTGGTCCTGCTGCCAGGACTCCTCTTCCAGCTAATCAAATAGTTGCTAACCATGCTGTTACCTTTCCTAAGGAATTGGAGCCTTTTGTTTTGCTGCCTCCCAGAACCATTTTGGATCACAACAGAGCTAGGTGGGATTAAGGTAGTTGAGGCTGAAGAGTGGGGGTGGGGGTAAAGAAGGGGGCTAGGGACAGAAATTACACATAAACCAGTTTAAGTGATCAGAAATTGGTTTAAACCTGTAACAGAACAGATATTTAGTGCACATAAACCAGTTTGAAAATGACTGAAACTGATTTGTGATAAACCTGGTTGACTAGTATCAGATTTGGGTCAAACCGGTTTATGCAATGTCTGTCCCAGACCCCTTGCTGGTTTAAGTTAAACCCCCAGTGTCCCAGCATGCTCTTTGGGCTGGCTGGGGCTGTCTGCTTCACAGCAGAGTTGCCCCTCCCCTCTGCTACCTGGCTGCAGCTCGGCAGAGACCGCAGGATGCTGCCCCTGCACCCACCCCGCCACTTCACCACTCCCTGCTAAGCAGGAATTCCCCACTTCCCTCTGCCTTGCTGAGAGGTGCCTGTGTAGCAGACCACATGCTGCCTCTATGGTCCATGCTGTGGCAGACGGGACAAAGGCAGAATCAACAGGTAGCTGGTAATGTCCCTCTGTTGTATTCTTAATGGGGTGATAAACAATGAGCTAGGGGTGATAAACACTGTTATCAATTCCTTGCTAAACTAATCAGAGTGTCCTGCCAGGGCTTGGCCACTCCCCACCTCAGCTCAATGCTATAGAAGGGAAGGGAAGGAAGGGCTGCTCTAGCACACCCCAGCTTCTAACCTGACCCACTGCAGGCATGTGCCTGCATTTCTGGGATGTCTGTACAGTTACAAACTGATTTAGCCTAGCCAGGTTAGACCAACCTGCAAAGATTGAATCAATTCAGGCTCAGACTTTCTGAATATCTTTCCCTAGTTGGTGTCTGGACTACCAGCTAGCATTTGCTCAAGTCAAAGCACCTATGTAAATTTTCTGTACAAAGTAGAATTGTCTAATGAAACTGGGTGCTAAATTCATTTGCAGCCACTGAGTCAGTTTGGTTTGTGACTCACTGAAATTCTATCTAGAATTAGGATGTTAAATAGGATATTGTTGATTTTGAAAGTGAATTATCTGACAGGAGAGCATCTACCAGTGGTGTTCTTTGGGGATTGGTCATGGGACCTATCTTGCTTAACATTTGTATAAGTGACCTTAATCCTGGAGTTAGAAGCACCTTCATGAAATCTGTGAATGACACTAAGCTGTGGGGTGTTGCCAATGCAGAAGAAGACAGGATGATTTAGATAATCTGGTGGAATAGAAGATAAGAAATAGAATTACATTTAACAGTATTAGGTGCAAAGTCATCCACTTAGAAACCAACAGCAAGGACTTCAGCTATGAGAAAAGGGTACATTGACTGGAGACATCTGAGGAATAGAGACTTGGGTACACTGGTTAATCAAAAGATAACCATGAGCCACTAGTACAATGCAGTTGTGAAAAAGGCTAAAGCAGTTTTAGAGTGTATGAGATGGGATATATGCAGCAGAGACAAGGAGGAACTTACCTCTATTGTACAAGGCACTCCTTTACATTACTGTGTGCAGTTTGGTTCATCCATGTTCAGAAAAGATTAACTTAAATTGGAATGAGTTCAAAGAAAGGTCATTAAGATGTTTAACAGCATGGAGAGTTTTCTTATGAAAGGAGGTTAAAGAAGTTTGGTTTGTTTAACAAAACTGAGACTTGAGAAGGGAGATGATCACTTCCCAACTACATACATAGGACAAATTACAGGGAGGGCGGAGATTTTTAGGTTGAAAAACAGCACCGGCACAAGTCAAAGGACTACAGATTGACTATCAGTACATTTAGATAGGAAATCAGCAGAAAATTTCTACCTATCAGAGAAGTGAAGTTTGGAACAGTCTTCCAAGTGAAGTGGAGGAGGGCAAGGAACTTGCATCTCTAAGACTGAACTAGATAAGTTTATTGAAGAGCTAGTGTGATTGAACAGGGAGTTCTGGCACACCAGGTAGTGTGTGTGATGTTTAGTTATATATTAGTAGTCCCAAATTGAGAACGAAGGTAATGTGAAAGTTGTTTGGAGAGTGGGGGCATTGCCTTTCTCAGTAGCACAGGACATCAGTATTTTCCTAGAATCTTCTGAGCATATACATAAAGCAACTGTATCCCTGTCATTGCAGTGGCAGGGCTTTGGCACTGACCTCTTTTCTGCTTTTACATATGTCATTTTATAAGGCTTCTTTTGTGCTTTGGATTGCACTTCTTGTAGTTGTTGATGACGGCTTGAAGTAGTGATCTGAGGGATTCCTTGGCTAATAAGTGCCTGCAAATGTGCGGGACTGGACTTGATGGCCCAGGAAGCCTCTTTCTGTCTTAGGTTCCTAGAAATGGGTCTGTACAGCTATATTCAATAAAAGATTTGGGTGCCTGAAAGGTAATTCACTGCAACTATCTTTTAGGCCCCTGGCATTGGGGTGGAACCCAGAGATCTGTTTTAGGTGCACAGAGAGAGTAAGGTGCCTTGGAATGAGAACTAAGGTGAGCATGGGAAGTACCTGAGTAACACAGCATGCGCTGGCTATAGCTAGCCAATTCATTACTGCTGAATGCAGGGATAAATTTTAAATCCCACCCCTAAAGGCCTGAATCAGGGCTGCAAGAGGCCAACTTCATCCACCCAGGATCCATACCCTGCAACCCTCTCCTGAAGGTAGGCACCTTAATCCTTTTGGGTCACTGAGCAAGACTCATTCTTATCTTTGGTGTTAGTGGCTACTGCTATTATTATTATTATTATTATTATTATAATAATAGAATAGCAGTAGTTAGAATATTCTCCCAGGAAGAGTATGGCCTGGATTGGATTCCTTCCTCAATCTAAGAGAACAGGGTAATAAACAGGCAGCATGACTTCCTGATCCAATAGTTTGGATCTGGAAGCGGGAGGAGTTCAGGTTTCTGGTCTCTGCTCTGTCATTAGATAAAATAAATAATGTAGGTGCCTCCAAGGTTAGGTAGCAGCTAAGCTGGAATGGTTTCTAGGCACTTAGGACTTGATTTTGGAACTGGCCTTGC